AATATTATTTTATTTCGTCTGTATGTGGGATAACATTTGAATTCCTGTCGTTTGTTAAGTACATTTTAAAGGCGGGTAAGCGAAGTAGTGTAGTAGTGTCCATAGAGGGATGCACATATACGAGTATACTTAGTATTACTGGTTAAACTAAAAACTATAATTGGTATTTTGTAGTATTTACAGTCCAGTGTGACAGTTCGGTGCTTTAACTACACAAAAAGTCATGCAATTGAAATTCTTGTATATGGTTCGATCCACTAATCGAGATTACATAATTATGGCTTTTGCTGTGCGTTGACATCTTTCAGAGGTGTCTTCTCATCCTTGACATCAGCATCCTTCTGATCATCCGATCTATTCCACGATTGCTCGGCACCCGAACCAAATATGACGAAAGCCAAGAACTCCAATACGAACAAAACGATTGTAACGCCAAAGATAATACGCCAGGCTCCAATATTTTGCTGTGATTGGAGTACACAAGATTTTGGAATAATAAAGAATTCTGAATTATATGAAATCTCAGGCAAAACTTACATTTCCATGGGTTACAAAGCCCACAAAGAGGGGAACAACAATGCCAGGTAGGGTGGCAGCAGTGTTGGTCAACGCAACTAAAGTGCCAGCAAAGTTCGGAGCGATATCAATGTGATTGGATAGGAAGCCAGAGAACATGGCACCCATTGCCACAATGCCCACGGACATGACAGAGACGGCCTCGTAGTGTCGGCATCCAATATAGCACAAGACCAACAAACATATTGCCGGTATAACAGTACAAATTGAGGTAGCGGTCTTCCTAGCAATGGTTGTGCTTATTTTGCCTAAAAATATACGTATTCCTCATTAATACAGACTAAGGACTAAGAATACAATATGTAAAATGAAAAGTGTAGGAAATGGGATATGTTATGAGTTATAGGCTATATGTTGGGATAAGAAGATGGAGTAGAATATATGGACAAGGATTAGAGATGGATAAGGATAAGGATAATGTATGCATAAGGGTTTGAATAGGATATAGATTTTTATACGGATTTATGTATATACATGTATGTATATAGGTTATGGACACAGATAAACTTACCCTTCGCTTGCAGAGTGTCCAGAATTTTGCCAAGAAGTATGCTGAATATGATCATTGGGAAGTAGGGCAGGGCGCTCAGTGCAGCATTGCTGGCCACATTGAACTTGAGCACCTGCTTCATGTAGAAGGGAATCTCGATGAGGAACATGTACCAGCCGAAGTTGCTGCAGGTGTGAGCGATAAGAATTGCCCAGAAGGGCACCGATGTGAACACCTTGCCCCATGGCACCTTTGGATGATGCTCGACCTTGGTCTCGGTGCCCAGCGAGCTGGTGATCATGTGACGTTCCTCGGCACTGATGAAGCTCTGCTTGTTGGGATTGTCCTGCACCAGGATTATCCACAAGAGCATCCAGATGCAGCTGAGTGCGCCCATCACATAGAACACCGACTCCCAGCCCCAGTTGGCCGATAGAACGCCAGCCAATAGAATAGATAGTGCCGTGCCCGCCGATGTGCCCACATAGATGATGGTGGACATGACCATGCGCTCGGTGGGCGGTGCCCAGGAGGCAATCATCACATGCATAGCCGGGAACGAGGCACCGCCGCCCACGCCCTCCAGGACACGCATCAATATCAGGCCACCGTAATGAGCAGAGGTCAGGATTGGAGTCAGCAGAGTGCACACCACATTTATGGCCACCGAGAACAGCATGACCCACTTGGCCGAGAAGTTCTCGGCGACATGAGCCAATGGAATCTGCGAGACCAGATAGCCCCAGAAATAACAGCTCAGCAGTGTGCCCTGCAGGGGTTCGCTCCAGCTAAAGGGTCCGTCCTGGTCGGAATAAGGCGAATAAGATGTTTTATTTAAATTTACATTCATTTTGATTGCTGCGCAGCTGGTGACCTACCTCAACCTTGGCCGTTACATTGGTGGCGCCACCTGGCGGCGAGCAGACCTCAACCTCCTCGCTGGCGCTGCTCGTGAGATTCGAAATTGTATGATGATCCAATGGCTTCTCCTGCATCAGATGTATGGCAGTATGGTTGACCATGGCCACCATGGCCACACTCAGATTCACCTTCAGCCCATAGACAATGGCCATGCCAATGGAGCCCATTATGGCGAGCACATAACGTGCGGGCACCAGCTCTGCAAAATGCAAATCAAATTGACAGTCGATTAATTGTTGGGCTGGGTCAGGGCAATGGAAGTGGGAATGGAAATGACAACGGCAACGGCAACGGCAATTGAGATGGGAATGTTACCACGAGCGCAACGAAAACAAACCGTTAAGCCAAGCTATAATTGGAGCAGACCTCGCCCTGATAACAAATTTCGATTTGTATATGGTATTTGTTTTCCATTAGAAATTCACGTCTGGCCCAGCGACGAGGCGATCCAATTGGATGGCAAAACAAATTAACGTTTCACAATTGCTCGAACTTTATCGCCGCAACGCGAAATATAACAATTCGGAAATTTGTTGATAGCTGCCGCTAAAGATAGATGGGAGCTATCATCAAACGATTTGTGCTGGCAACTGAAGTGCTTAATTTCAAATAAATGCCTAATCGAGTGACAAAAACATGCCCAAGATGGAAGCGATTAGTAGATAAGCTGAAAGTGGGTAGCATAACAACAGAAGTAACATAAAGTG